TTCGAAAGCCAGTCCATACCTCCAATGTAATTCATCCAATAAATTTTATATTTTAAAAAAGAATTACTGATAAATGTTAAGCAAGTAAGCTGAAAACTACCTGCTCCTTCACCTACTTTACACTGTTAAATTTTACACCAACAACTGTACCTATCTGGAATTGGTTCATGTTGCTTTCGTTCATAAAACGGGAAAATAAGATCAATCACAAGCCCTACATTGCAAAGGTATTCGGAAATTAAATAGTTGTGTGTGTACAGTATATGTGCAAACACCCATGTGTACATTTGTATAGGGAAAAGACAGCGGAAATACATATTTCTAAATGTCCTGTTCTCTCAGAGTTAATGAATATTCTCTCTGTTTACTTTGCCCTCCCATATAACTTCTAATCCGTGGGTGTGGTGAAACTGCCTGATTAATACCTGTTTGTGGGCCACAGAAATAGTTGTGCAGAGTTTGAAACACGGTAATATGAAACCAGTCTTCTTGGTTGATGTTCACTCGCTGCAAGCTACATTCCAGACCAAACCTGCACCAAAGCGGAAGGGTGTTTTCTTTTTTTTTATTATTATCATTCAGTTTCAAGGGCAGTACAGTCAGTTAACTTCAACACTTGGAATTCTCCAGAAGACAAGGCATGTTTTAGCAAAGAACTTCAAATAAATTCCAATCCATCAAGATTTTCCACATTTCTGATACATAGCCGCTCTGAAGATTCTGCTAAAGCAGCTTTTGACCACAGTGGGGATCTTTCTGAAATTTTCTGCTGACATGAGCCGGCACGAGGAAATAACAAACAGCAAGTACCAGTTGTTCAGTACTAACCTTTAACTCTATTTTCTAGAAAATAAAAAGCTTTGGAATTCACAGAACAGTAGGAATCAATGCAACTGTGCCTCGTGTTTTTCAGCCGATTAGTTTGCAGATTTGCTCTGCCAAAAAAAAAGGCCCTTTGTGTAAAAAGTAAGTTCTGTTGCTGCTGAGAAAATGTGGCATGCAAGATGAGTGAAATCTTCCTATTTCTTCTGTACTAAAGTTGTAAATGTTGGTAGGAATTTGCATTTCATAATACTATGTTCTGGAAAAATAGTGTATGATTTGGAGAAACAGCTTCCCTCCATAATGATTCAATTTACTTACTGAATGAAAAAAATATTTCTTGGAAGTAATTGCACAGAAATAAATAGTTCTTGTTCCAGGAATATATGTGTGTTTTGATTTGCCCAACATGGAAAAAGATTGTGATTGCGGTAAGCTGTCTAATCCAGGGAAGGAGAAAGAGACTGAAGCAGGCCATACTTTATTTTCTAAATTTTCTATGAAAGCACTGTTTGGATTTACAGATAAATTAGAACCAGGAGCTTCAAAACAGCAAGTAGTTTTAAAAGGGGTTCAAAATGTCAGTGAGGATATTGGTAGCCATGTGGACAATAAGGATGAGAAGAACAAAGTAAATGAAGAAGCTGATCCAAATACTGTTCATCTGCTTCCAGAAATGGTGCAGGAAGAAAGTAATGTTCAGGCTGTTCCAGAAACTGACACAAGAGACATATTTGTTTTGGAGGCAGTCTCAGGAATGGGTGACTGGGCTTCAAATGACCGTGCAGAAACTATTACTGGGGCTTCAAGTGTGCACAGAATTTATGCTGGAAACTTTGTTGACTCTGAAGACAATGACAGCATACATAATACCTCGATAGACTATGCTTTTGTTTCAGATGATCATCAGGCTGATGTTTATGGCACAAGTGACTTGGAAACACAGCAAAGGGAGCAGAAGGAGCCGTCTCTCTATTCTAGCCACTCTCCTTTGTGTGAATTCAACAAACAAGATTGTAAGGATTCCATTCTTGTTCAGGGTACTTTGGCTCATACAGCAAATGACACAGAATTAGACAATGAGGCTACAGATGTAGAAGCGCATGGAAATGTAACAAACTACCCTGTGTTAAATTGTGCTGTATCATTGGAGGATAATGATCAAAATAAAGAAGACACAGAACTATATACAGAAATGGGTAGTGCTATAGCAGGGGATAACACAGAGCCAATTTTACCAAGTGGCAAATGGCCTTCAAAAGAAATGGGTGATGCAATACCAGAAATATATTCAAATTCAAATGTTAGAACACTAATCAAGGAAAATAATAGTTCAGTTTCTTCAGCAAAGGATATTCAGGAAGCTGAAGAAGAGCAGGGATCTCTTTCAAGTAACTGCAGCACTGATTCTCCTTCAAAGCCAGCATCAAGCGAAAAGTCCTTCCAGCTCCCAGCCTTCTTTAGTGGATTACGTGTTCGAAAGAAAGGGTTGACTGCAGATCCGGAAGAAACTGTCACTGAAATCAAACAGAAAGACAGTGATCTAGCTATGCTCAAACTAAGACAGCCTGTTAAGAAGTCAAATCTTGCACCTGACCCGATAACCAAGAAGAAAATATCAGAGCCGAAAGGTTCTCCTACTTTTCTAGAACATCTTTCTCAGTTGTTAGGGCCTAAAGCTGAGGAGAAAGGTATTGATGAAGTAGTACCGGCATCTGGGGAGGTCCAAGAAAGATCTGTGAGCACAGATCCATCTGAAGAAATGAAACCAAGTCCTGCCGAATCTGCACTGGATGCATTTAAAGCTTTATTTACACGTCCTCCCAAAAAAGAGACAACTGCTGACACTTCAGAATTAGAAGCAATAAAACGTAAAATGAAACATGAAAAGGAAACTTTGATGGCAATATTTGAGAGGTCTAAATCAAAATCCAGTGATGGAGCCACAGAAACAAAACCAGTAGGTTGATTGATTCTCTTGTATGCTATGTCTAGAATATAGTAGCAAAAACTTGGAGTTTTTGATGTTTAGGTTTCTTGAGTGGGATGAATTAAAATAATGATAGTAAATTCTGATGCAGAAAATGTATCAAACTGAGGCTGCCCTCCATTTTATTTTTCTCAGCACAATACTAGGTTATCTTGATAAGAGTTGTGCATAAAGACAGTATTGTATAAAATAGCAATGTACATTATACAAATATAGATTATCATACATTAGTAGGCAAAATCTTATATGCATGAATTGTCAGATTATATTTCATTTAAAAAAGAGCAAGAGAAGTGGCAATTGAAAGCCTTATTTGCCTATAATTTATAGATTTGTGACTTACTCATTATTTCAATTTGTTTTTGAAAGCAAATCAGTGATTAGTCAACATATTGATGAGCAAATTCTCATTTGTAAAAACATTTAAAAATAATTTCTGTATATTTAATGCATTAACATTTTGCTTTTATCCAAGAGGTTTAAACCAGGATCATGATATATGTTTACTTTTATCTTTAAAATAAACCTGTAAGGTAGTGTAAATTGATTGTTATTACGCTACTCAAATTCACATGATGGGTGTTAAGAACCAGTTACTGAACATCCACCGTAGTTTGACACTGTCAATTTAATCTAGTGACATTGTGCATTGTCTATCATTTTCTATAGTTGGTAATCCCATGCTTGAAATGCATACAAGGATAACATACTTCCCTGGAGCATCAAGTTACTGTGATAGTTTATACAAAAAGGGAAAAAATGCAAATCATAGTGATCCACTAGTAAAAAAATAAATAATGTGAACTAAATAAAAAGTCCCCCAATATGTGCAAACTTTTATGTTCTTCTTCAAGTCCAAAGTTCTGCAAAATGAAATAGGGAAAGAAGAAAAGAAAAGTGGATGTACAATAATTTATAATATTAAAGTTAAATATTGTAATACATTTTTTTTGTTGTTTTGTTTTATCAGGCTGATATAATACTTTCAGAGCAGGATGACAAGACTCCAGGAAGACTCCAGACTGTCTGGCCACCACTCAAAGCAGAAGAAGAGAAAATAGGCTTAAAATATACAGAAGCAGGTAATTGAAAGCAGCGATACATAGGATTGGTAATGATAGATTTCTTACACAAATGCTTACATAATATACTTGAAAACAAAAGTTATTGTATCATTTCCGCAGCTGTAATTTCAAAGGTTGACATAGGTGTGTGTGTATGTGTGTGTGTGTGTGTGTATGTATATATATTTATATATATTCAGATTTCTTTTTGCTGAGAAAGAGTTATATATATTTGAGGTATATATATTCATATATATTCATATTCATATATATTCATATTCAAAAACCAAAACCCAGATCACCGAGACTGAAGAATTCTGAATAAATTCTTCAGTCTCAGTGATCTGGGTTTTAGTTTTTAGGCAAAGAAATGTTTGTGTTATTTTAATATACTATATACTTTCCCAAGGCATTGTATATAATACCTAGCCATTCTGCAGAATAACAAGAATCATTTAGGCAACGTATGAGAAGAGAGTCATGAAAAGGGTTAGTGTTAGGGTTAACCCACTTTTTTGAAAAGATGTACATGAAAATGAAAGAAGAAATACAAATACAAATAAAAAATAAAGTGGAGAACTTTTACTGAAAAAAAATCAAGAGAAAAAGACCAGCATTAGCCTACTTGTTCCAACAAGGAAGGCTAGAATGGCATTTTAGCAGGAGTATTTTATACTTTACTGGTTTGCCTTTTGGTACTGCATAGAAAGCCTAGGAAATGAAATATTAAGCATTTCATACTTTGACATCCCATTGTTGACACTCTATAGAATTCCTAGATATTCTATAAAATGCCTAATTTCACATTTTGATGGTAACATATATAAAACGTTATCATGGTCAGTGAGAAGTGAGACATAATAAAATACATAGGGACGTAACACAGAAAGCATAAAAATGTATATTTGCAAGGTTCTAAAATGAGGAGATAATAGTTTTATGATATGTTACATATATATTAGTTTCTGATCAATGCTTCCTAAGTATGATATATATGAGGATAAGAGAGAAAATCTTTTTCAAGCCATATACCAAACTTTAAGAATCATGTTGGTGCTACTGAGAATCTCAGAAGGAATCCATAGCCTCCTGGAAAATAGCTTTGATTTTTTTCCCCCCATAACTGTTGGATTGAGCTAGAAAAAAGAAACACTGTCATACTCACTTGGTGAAAAGTTTTGATTATATAGCATGTGCTCTAAATGACATTCTCACTGTTTGTTGCACACTTAACAAAGAGAAGAGAGTTTAGAATGCATGGGGCTGCACACAAAGATTCTCACCTAATTTGAGAAATGCCAGAATTAGTCACACTTAAGTAAGAAAGTAAAACAATTATTCATGATGTCTTAATCCACTGATCTTCAGAGGAGGGCCAATACCTTGTAATGTGGGCTGCTCTGGGTAGAGGCATCCATCGTAGACTATTTAGATAAGTTCCAATGTCCCAAAGACTTGAAATATTATTACTTATCTAACACATGCAGATTCTCATTATGGCTATTCATTGTTTTGAGCCTAAAATGTTAGTAACTTATTTACAGTCACCCTGGAATCAGTCATTCCCTTCCTAATGAGAGAATTTAGGTTGGCTTCCAGGTGAACTTTTAATCCTAAATGACACAATCAAAATCATTAGCTGATTTTTGTGCTATAATAACTTCTAGAGAATTCTCCCAGGCTATAGCTGTCACAGAACATTCTACTTACATAACAGTATAAACACTGAGCTGAATCCAGCTCCTTTTATGAAAATAGGATCATTTCCTTGGTTGACATCTGCTCAGGATATTTTCACCAGTAAAAAAGGAGACATTCATTAATACCCTTTTTCAACTTCTCCCACTATTGCACAGTGTCATGGATATCTTTGGGTTGATTATGGGAGCATGGAGAGGTTTACAGAACCGAACAGAATAGCAGAGTTGGAAGGTACCATGGAGATCTTCTAGTCCAACCCCATGCTCAAGCAGGAAACCCTGTACCATTTCAGATAAATGATTATCCAATCTCTTCTTAAAACCCTCTAGTGTTTGAGCTCCCATAATTTCTGGAGGCAAGTTGTTCCACTGATTAATTTGTTATAAATCTCAGGAAATTTCCCCTTAGTTTTAGGCTGGTTCTCTCCTTGATTAGTTTCCATCCATTGCTTTGGAGAATAGGTTGACCCCTCTTATTTATGGCAGCCACTTAGATATTGGAACACTGCTATCATGTCACCCCTAGTCCTTCTTTTCATTGAACTAGACACACCCAATTCCTGCAGCTGTTCCTCGTTTGTTTTAGCCTCCAGTCCCCTAATTATTTTGTTACTTTTCTCTGTACGCTTTCTAGAGTCTCAACATCTTTTGAATATTGTGGTGACCAAAACTGGATGTAGTATTCCAAGTGTGATCTTACCAAGGCAATATAAAGTGGGACTAACATTTCATGTGATCTCGATTCTATCCCTCTGTTAAGCAGTTTAGTACTACATTGACTATTTTGGTAGCTCATAGTTAAATGATTGTCCACTAGGGAAAATTGTCCATTAAATTTACAGGGTAGAGGAATATCAACCAAATTATGCTGTCCCATCCATTCTGCTAATGGACCTCGCCTTTGAATCCTGTGGGTATCCACTCAGGCAGATTTTGAATCTAATCCAATATCTGATTTACAGTAACAAAATCCACAACTATATGCTTTGCTGTTTATACATTCATATATTTGAGAAAAATATATTGAATTATTGGAACTTTATAAAATTCTATTTTCAATATATATTTTTATATTTTATTGTAAAAAAGTGTCTCAATAGGTAGTAGCATTTGGGTCACTTTCAGAATGTGACTCAGTTGGGCCTGATTAGCACCTCCTTAAATAAGAGAAACAATCAAAGAATGAGCTGTTCAGTATATAAACTATAAGATAGAATAGTGTTTCTCGATCTTGGCAACTTTAAGATTGTGGATTTCAACTCCCAGCATTCCGCAGCAGCTTACTGGACTAGAGTTTAAAAAAAATTCAGAAAAGGACAGTGTCACACCTGACCTATCTGTTCTGCACCAAGAAACTTGCAGACATATCCATGTATTTTCCAACAGTCAAGCCTGATTGAATAGCAACTTTCCCTTTTTATTGCAAAAAGCTATGTAAGAATTCAGTAGAAATTTAGAAAATTGGAATTTAATGAGACAGTAGGTACAATATTATTAGGTGTCATTACTTACTGTTGTTGTGCAATAATTTATATCAAATATATTTTGAACAGACCTAAGCTTCAACAATTGCATGCTTATTCACCATGTGATGTGAGTGAAAAGGAAATTTCAATGAACACAAGTAGGAGAAAAATATTCAGTAGCAGTTGGTAAAATCACTGCCATCTACACAGACTATAAATTTTATTTTTATGCCATATATATGATATATACCATATATATGCCATATATATATCCTTTCCTATTTTTTCTATAATTGCTTTGAATTTTACATTTTTTTCTTTTATAAATATCATTAAAAACCTATTTGACCTAACCATTCAGGTTCTAACCACTAGTCCTATTGTTTTAGTTTAACTACAAAACTTATCAATTTAATTACAGATCACATCATGGTACTATGGTCAGGAAGATGGGATAAACTCATTAAATAGACCATTTAATGACAAAGTAAAAATAAAAATCTAAAAAAATATGAAAGGCTAAAATGTGAAAGATATATAAATTTAGATAGATATAAATAATATAGATATAATAGATATAGATATAGATGCAAATATTGATAAACAAGATTCTAAAAAAAATCTAAAAAGTTAGCACTAGATGTCGTAGGGAACTATAAAAGGTTAATATGTGGAAGACTATATAACACTACAGAGCACTCTAATATGCTGAATTAGGTACTCATTAAATCTAGTTTAGAGCATTTTAAGGAAAAAACACACATTCTTATCAAACATGTCTTTCCTCGCTACCAAATGAAAAAGGGCATAAGGATTGAGCATTTATCAGATTAACTGCCCTACCTCAGAACTGTTTGCTCATAAATTTGTATTCTCTAGGTGGAAATATTTATGTACTATCTCAAATCATTTTTTTCTGCTTATGGAAAGAGAAAATTACATCCTTAAAATGTTTATATAAAAATAGTATAGAGGGAAAAATAAGGTTATTTTTAAGATTCTTCATTATATTATTTGTCAATATGTAAGCATTATATTTCATATTACGACCACTGATTGTGGCTCTGACAATGTGCTGTGCTAAAAATGATATTGTGTATTTCAATTGTATTGAGGTACTGTTGTATCTAATTATTTACTAAAATGGCTTTCTTTCT